GGAATTAGAGCGAACAGATCACGGCATACTTTAGTAAAACATATGTTGCGGATTGATGCGCATGTGTTGAATGCAAGTGTGATGTATGCACTATCAATTAAGTCGGATGCATATGTGACGGAGTCCTTTGGTGCACAATATTACGCATTGTTGCGGATGCGTTTGCGCGCAACTCAACACGTGGCAAACAGCACCAAATATTACGTGCGGCGGTGAGTCGGAACGCGCCCACACCGATGTTGCACGCAACGTGTTCACGTACGGTGGCGGCGTTCATGGCACGAGGGAGTGGGAGAGAGAGAGAGAGAGAGATGGATGTTGAGTCGTATGTATCCAGTGAGGGTCATATTGGTGCCATCATGCCTTGTACTGAGGTTCCAACTCCTAGGAGGCGGAACTCAGCATCGGCCCTGGAATTTCCGTTGGCAAGATTCTCTCTCGTCAGGCCTAATCTTGCGTGGTTCCGCTTAACACGGCCCAATTCTAACATCTTTTCAATCGGACTCAAATATTTACATCCATCCCACGAAGATTTCCCAGGCGTTCCCTCCAGAGTGCCTTTCCTCTTCCCCCCCCCCGCGCGCCCGCCCTGATGCGTAGGGCCTCCAGAGCACCACCGAAGCCGCTCGCCCGGGGAGCGACTGCCGCCCCCGCGCCCGCGCCTGTGCCCCGTCGAGCTCTCCTAGCCGCGCACACCGCCTCGCGTTCGCCGCTGTGGTGGTTCCGTGGGGGAGGCGAGGGGGGAGGGGGGGGGGGGCAGCCCACGGGTTGGGCATTGCACATGTTCGCCCGAGAGCCTCGTCGAACATTTGCTTAAGCCCGCTGGCACCAGGTGGTCCAAGACGGTTAGGCGCTGGTCAGCAAGCCTTGGGGTGCACCGGAGGGCAATTGAGATATGAAAGCAAAAGCGAAAGAGCGCGAGAGGAGAACTAATGGCCCGTTCAGGCCATGTAAGTCGGCGCGGGGATCCCGAAGGAGAGCATGCGAGTTGCGTCCAAGCATCAGGGCTTGGGCAAGCTTGAAGTGCAAGACTCTAAAGGTGCCAGAGAACGCCTGGAAGACCTGGAGGCCGAAGGTGTGGCGCGGGCATCAAGATGGCGACTCATGAGACGGAGCCAGAGTATTGGAGTGGTCGCAAGATGAGTGCATGACCAGGTACACGGCCAAAACGGGACGGCATGAGGTGGGGGATGCAATCCGGGTGAAAGCCGACAGGACACATGGATAATTACGGTTGGGGCATTTGGGCAGCCGGTCGGGAGTTTTGGATACGTGCAATGCAGTGAAGTGCCCACCCTGTTGGCTATCCCAGTGCCGCTCGCGAAGATGAGGGAGAGTATGAGAAGGAGGAGGCGGAGGAAGAGGAGCAGGAGGAGGTGTAGGAGGAGCAGGAGGAGCAGGAGGAGGACCTGTGCAAACCAACGGCTCAACAACGGTGTTGGAATACAGTCTCCCTCCAAGCTCCCTTCATAATCAGGATCTCAGGATTCACTTCCATTGAGGCCCCATTCGGAGACAACCGTTTGAAGTTCCTGAAGCGCCCCAAGCACCTTTATCGGGATGCCAACGCCATGGATCAATGTGTCCGTGTCGATACTGAATGGTGCTAAAACGCGATTCCTGGGACTCCAGCGCCGTTAATCAACGTCTTGCGTCTTGTCGGTCCTGAAGCTTGCCCAAACACCATTTCTGGAATGTTGACCATGGGGATCCGTGAAACTCTTGCAAATGTTTACAAACGAATATACGCGGCGCGACGAGAGCCACATTTTGAAAACGACCCGCCTTCAATCCTTGAAGTTCTTGCCCTTTAGTGCTAACGCGAGAGCCACATGTTTCGGATTATCCGCCCTCCATCCGTGAAACCCTTCCATTGTTTTGAAAAATCAAATGCGCGCGGCGCTGGAACGAGAGCCACGAGAGCCACATTTTGACAACGACCCGCTCTCAATGTTTGAAGCTCACGCAGATGGTAAAGCCAGTGTGCGCGGCGATGCGGCCAGAGCCACATTTTGAAAACGGCCCGCTCTCCATCCGTGAATATCATGTATGTTGAAGACGTGTGTGCGCGGCGCTAAGGCGAGCGCCACATGTTTTAACCGCTCGTCCTCCATTCGCGAAACGGCTGCCACTTTTTATCACGATCATACGTGCCCAGGAAGTCTCAGGCGAAACTTCTGGCCCGCCCTTCCGATTGGGTTCGTGGTGCGACAGGGGGGAGTTACTCATAAAGGAAAAACATAGACGAGCTGGGGAGGGGGGGGGAGGCGGAGGAGGAGGAGGAGGAGGAGGAGGACCAGTGGAAACCCAAGACTCATCAACGATGTGGAAATACACCCTCCTCTCAAGCTCTCTGTTCATAGGCTCCTACAAGGGCTCGCTTCCACAAGGAGTTACCCCGTTGGCGGACAACCGTGTGAAAATCTCACAACGCGCCAGAATCCAGAACACCATTCTCAGGATTTCAACGCCACGAATCAACCTGACTGTTGCGTAGTGGCGATATCGAATCGTGCCAGAACGTCGCATGTTGGACGTCAGTACCGCGCATTTGCGTGATTGTTGCGCCTTGGCAATCCCAGTCGCATGAAAACATTGTTTCTGGTACGTTAACCACGAGAAGCAATGAAATTCCTGCAGCTGTTTAAAACGAGCGTGGGTGCTAAGGTGAAGGCCACATTTTGAAGAGGAGCCGCCATCAATCCGTGAAGCTCGAATTCTGTTTTGTATCGAGTGTGCGCGGCGCGCGCCTTCAATCCGCGAGACGCTTGCAATGTTTTCAAACGAGTGCGCGCGGCGCGAAGGCGAGAGCCACAACTTGGAATTGGCCCGCCATCTAAATGCGAAGCCGTTGCCAGCTTTTCAATTTTCAGGCTGATTAGTGGTCAGGAAGTCTCAGGCGAAACGCCCAGCCCGCCCTTTTGACTGGTCTCGGGGTTCGACAGGGAGGAGTTATTCATAAGAAAAGAGAATGGAGGAGGAGGCCGAGGTGGAGGCGGAGGCGGAGGCGGAGGCGGAGGCGGGGCGCGCGCCTCGCCTGGCCGGGCCGGCGGCGCTGGGCTTGCTGGGCTGCTGTGCGCACGGCGCGTGGGCGCGCTGCGCGGCCGGGCAGCGAACGCCGCCGAAGCGGCCGTTGCCTGGCCGCCAGGCCCTCATGCCGGTCGCTCGGCAGCGGGTGCCCTTGGGTCCCCCGGGGGTCTGTGCGAAGCACGTGGGACATGCGCCGGCACCAAGTCAAAGAACGGTTGGACCGCGTTCCGCCGCCAGGGGGGAAGAGCCAAAGTGCGAGCGCACAGCACGCGAGCGCATGTGCAGATCGGGGCTTCCACGGAGTTTCACAAAGCACTCACAAACCTTGCTGCTCAGCGGGGTCAGTGGCAGTTTGATTGTTTTCGTGCTTTCATCGAATTGAGAGACCGTCGCAGGACCAAGGAAAAGGTTCTTGCTGCTTGGGCGTTGTGGGTCGCGCAGATCGGCCCTGTCCTCGTAGATGTGGGTCGAATCGGTGCTTCGAACAAGCAGAAGACAACATGTGCGAAACCTCACACCACGCACCTTCAGCTCGTTCAGCTCGTGACCCCTCCCGTTGCCACGTTGCCTGCGTTGCACTGTGCGGACCTCGCGCGCGAAAGGCTTGTCAGGGCTGGCGGCAGAGCTCACGTTAGCCATCCTTCCAGCTGGCGGGCGGGAGGCGGTGCGTGATGTGTGCGCGTGTGCGTGTGCGTGTGGCGCGCGGGATGGGAAGTGCAGACTCGCGCGCAGGACCGCAGCCGCCGGGTTTTTGGGGCGCGCGAGTATTTTCGAATATTGTGCGTGGTTGGTTTCGTATCTTCAAACGGTGGCACATCTTTTCACCAGCGCTCCGCACTGCTAAGGTCATTCGCGTCGGCGAAGCCTCCAGCAGGCAGTAACTGTTATTTGTTTTGTTTCAGGTTGACCGGCACACGTGGGGGCGACAGCGGTAGGGCCCAGTCGGAGGGCAGCGCCACCCACCGGTGCGCACCGGTGTAAATATGCCGTTTGCGCACACGGTGCGTCGAGGGGAAAGAGGACGAGGTCAAGGACAAGGACAGGGAGGAGGAGCATGATAATTATTGGCGACGAAACCAGAGGGCGCGGAGGAGGGGGAGTAGGACGGGGGACGGCGCGAGTACAAGGGAGGGAGGATGTTGAAAAAAAGGGGGAAGGACACGACGGCGACAACGAGTGGCTCGTGCCCGTCGCCTCCCAATTCGCCGATGGAAGGGCAGGTCAAGAAGGGAACGTTCCTCAGGCCAGGGCCGCCTTCTAAGATGGTTTCGGGCGCATGGGGGTCTTCAGGGGCCCAGGGCGGTCAGGCGGTTGTTCGGGGGCCCCTGAGACTCGCGCCTGACCCCCCTGGGCCCGATGCGCGGGCCCGCCAACCTCTTCTCGCGCCACTGCCGCCGCCACTGGTGCTGGACAATCGCTGGTGGTGGCGCCTCGTGTTTCCTCCGTCTCGAGGGGTTATTGATGCTTCGCGTATCTCCACCACCTCAGTAGCCGCCTTGGCTCGAGCTCCTCTGGCTCAAGCTTGGCTCAACCCCCCTTTGGCGCAAGCCTGGCTCAAGCACGCCCCTGATCTAGGTACGCGCCGCGCTCGGCCTGCCGCGATGGCTCCCGGCGCCGGCGGCTTCACCGGCGCCGCCCTGCGGCGGCGCCAGCGCCTGGCTGCCGCCGCCCGCGGCGGGCCGCCTAACCCAGGCCCGCCCCTGGCTGCTGTTGCTGCCGCCGCCGCCGCCGCCTCCCCCCCAGAGGCTGGCAAGACATGGGATGACGCCTGCCCTCCGCCGCCTTCGCTTTGAGTTTTGGGGCCCCCTTGCCTTCGACCATGCCCCAGGTAAGCTTGTTTATCGGCGGCCGTTCTTGCCCAACCCGCCTGGGCGATTGCTTGATCAATGTGACGATGTACGTTAGATGTTCGCTTGGGTTGGTCACGCGGCCACCTAGCTCAATGAATACTTCGTAAATCACGCATTCCATCAAGTACTGGAGCACCTCCAATTCAACAGTGCGCATCAATTGAAATGCACGAGAAATCAAGTGATGGGAGTTTGAAAACGCTTGACACAAACAACCCATCACTGAAACGCGACTGCATGAAGAGCCGATGGTTGAAACACGTTTGTCTCCACATTGCTGTTTCGTAGAAGCCGGCGAATGGCGCAGTGGGCCTGTTGGCCATGCATGTGTAACAAGTTCGGCCTCAATCGCCCCATCCATGAATGCCCAGCGCCCCCTTTCATCCACGACCAGTCTCCCCTCTTCTGCACGACGCCGCCACATGCGAGTAAGCTGCGGCCAGATCCAGCTTTGCTAGCCTTAAGTTTGTCCCCGCGTTTTGTGGACTCGCTGAGAGGGGCGCCATCGTCCCGGAACGAAGGCCAACGACCCGTTGCCAAGCAATTGAAGCCCCAAGCCAGCACCAGGAATATTGACTCGAAGGCGCACTTCCCCTGGCACCCACATTGGCACACCGACTGCATGGCGAAACTCGCCACCCAGCACCTTCGATGCGAAGACCCAGATACGACGTTCATCATGACGACGAAGAGGTTGTCTCTAGTGCGGCAAGCGGCAGCATCGCCCCAAAGTCCCAGTGCCAAAGACGCGCTGG